GGGCGCCGAGCAGGAGCAGCAGGAGGAGGAGGACGAGCAGGTGCGGCTGCTGTCTTCCTCCCTGACCGCCGGCTGCAGTTTGAGGAGCCCCTCCAGCCGGGAGGCGGAGCCCGGGGAGGATCGGACGATACGTTATGTCCGATATGAATCCGAGCTGCAAATGCCCGATATCATGAGACTGATCACCAAAGATCTGTCCGAACCCTACTCCATTTATACCTATAGATATTTTATCCACAACTGGCCACAGCTGTGTTTCTTGGTAAGTGGATGGAAGGAAAGGAGGGTGAACCCGGCGGAGAGAGCCAGGCCGTGCAGGGCAGGGAGTGTGAGGGCAGAGAGTGGCCGTGGACCTAGCCTGCCTGGCGTAGTGCGTGCCACGCGGTGTCAGGTGCGTGTGCTCCCTCCTAGGTACTCGGTGGAACTCCGGAAGGTAAGAAGTCATGACCTGGGTTACCTTGATGCCGATGTTGAATGCAGCAAGCCCGTGCCGCCGCGTGCCGGGGTCTTCTATCCTGTTTGCATTCGCTTGTAATACTGTTTAACCTCTTTAATTACCCTCCCTCCTCCTCCAAGCGCTCTGCAGTCATTTAATTTGAACACGATTCTGTTCGGATGCAGACCTTATTAATCTCTCAATTACAGCTCTAATCAGGGAAGAGTGTGTGCATAAACATGTTTTGGGGAAACGTGATTTGTCAGTAAACTTGCTGCGGCCGCGCTGGAGAATGAAATCTCACTAGCATATTCTGTAATTACGGAGATTGTTTCCTTTACTTCAACAGGACAATTAACAGTTGTAGCCAGACTGCCTTCTGGTACGTGATTGCAGATGGTGCTACTAACACTTCTGGTGGCTAGAAAACTCCTGAAACTTGAACAAAATTACCCTTTTGTGAAATGTAGGAAACTTAAAGTGTGAAATTGTTACTAACTTAATTTTTTTTTCTTTTTTAAGAAACTGGTCATAGATATGCCTAAATGCTAGTAGTAATACTGGCTTGTGTCAAGTATAATTGACAAAATTCTTATTTATATGTAAGCAAAAAAGACGGGGCTACAAATAAGCGGAACAATTTTTTTAAACTTTACATAATACTCGTGGTTCCAATAGTTTTTTTTCCAATTATATTGACCAGTTTCACTTCTTTTGAAACCTTTTACTTAGATTAACGGCAGGTATATGCTTTGTATCATATACTCACAAATACATTGTTTCCATTGAATTTTACTGAAATGCCACATGCTTTTAAGGAACATTTTATGATATGTAAAGGGAAAAGCTACTACTATTATTTATCGTTTCAGCATTGATTTAGTTGCACTTGGTAATTCCCTGCAAGACATTTTAACAATACTTAAGAAATCCATCTTTTTTATTTTGTAGCTTAGTGATAACCTAAAAATACATTCTCAGTACTGTAAATAATGGTTGTTCTGCTATTTTCTGCTATTTTCTAAGTGTTCACTTTGCTAAACTTCAGTGTTTTTTTAAACTGTGGGAATTATTTTATATTCTATGAAACTCCTCTTAGGAGTCTAACCATTGTATCCAAAAATGGGAAAATGATTTTTTTGGCAGTATTATAAATGTCATATCACATTCCATTGTAATTGCTAAATATTATAGATTGACTTTAACTGTAAATTGACCCACAGAAGCATACAATTGAGGTACACTTTAAATTGAAATAGTATATTTATTTCTGTTAATTTCAGAAAATAGTTGTATATAGAGGGGCGGGCAAAAGTAGGTTTACAGTTGTGAGAACATGAAATACAGTTTATTATATTATTATTTATTAATTATTATTTTTCCATACGAACAACTGTAAACCTTTGGCCCACCACTGTATATGATATTTAATCAACTTTTGAGTTCTGATATTACTTAGACCTCTCTCAACTCGTCTGCCATTTTAGACTCTGATAAACTTAATATTAAACTTTAGTTTAGATTTTATATAGACTCCTCCCAATTCGCCAGTTAATTTGTGCTTTGACCCTTAAGAGTCAATTTGTTTAACATTAAATTCTGAGTATCTAGAAATCGAAATATGAAAAAGTGGTTGACCTATAAGATTTACTAGTGCAAGTATGAATCTGGTGGTGTGGAACATAAAATGATAGCTGAACAATTAGAGGCTGTGTAGCCTCGGGCCTTTTTATTGGCATTTAAAAAATTAGAATTTCCCATAAGAACTAATTTAAAACATATAATGTGTATGTTTATTTTGAATCATATCATTTTAGAACTGTAAAGGATCCTAGAGATAATCTAGCTCAGATTTATTTTATTAATGAAAAAATTGTGGGCCAGAGTGACTTTAAAATGTTTAAATCTCTAGATATTCAGTGGCAGGAAGGTAAAGCTAGAACTCAGGTCTCCTGGCCACATGGAAACAAGAACCTGAAAAATGACATACCCTTGGTCTATTCAGTGAAGATCATTATGTCACAGAGTTATACTTCTTAAGGGACAGATGTGCTTACAAATATCAATCTCAAGTGATTAGAAACCTCGAAAAAATTCCTGGTTTCATGAGTAACCTGTAATGGATTAAATGAAATATCTGAGGTTGAACCTTAGAAAATTGCCAATTCTTGACCAAATTTACTAACACAAATGACAGGGTTGTTGCTTTTTACTGGAGGACATATTTTTATTGAATTTTAGAGAGAAGGAAAGGAAGAGAGAGAAACATCTTGTTGCCTCCTACATGAGCCCTGACTGGGGGATTGAACCCGAAGCCTAGGTATTTGCACTGACTGGTAATTGAACCTACAACCTTTTGGTGTACAGGATGACTCTTCAACTAACTGAAAGTCCTGGCCAGGGCCAAATGATAGTTTCTTCTGATTCTTTCTAATAATTGTAACATGTGAAAGTAGAGTACTCTACAATTTGGAGGCACTGTCACTCTGTACTTAACTAATTTCTCATTGCAGTTCATGATATTTTGAACTGCAGTCGGTGTGTTTTCGAACTTCTTAAACTTATTACCAGTGATGTATACTACTTCCATTTATTTGTTCTAAATTTAACTTTCTGGCTTCCTCTGGAAACGACGCTTCTTTCCTATTTGTAGTGTTCTGGAATTTGGGACTCTCTGTTTCACACAATTTATATTTTATATCTATATTATAGATTGATAAGCCTTTGGTCTTTAGAGTTAAGTCTTGCCAGGAATTTTTCAGTTACCATCTGAAAAAAGGACACATTTAATAGCAGAAGCTTTTATTTGGAAAAAATTAAGTAATTTAGTAACTCTTGTAAGTTTATATTCATCAGCAATTTATCAAGAAAAAATAGCATTGGCCTTCCTCACTACAAACATCTTGTTAATAATAATATATTATATATTGGGCTTTTATTTTTAAATGATATGTACAACTTGATTCTTGCTCCTATAGATTCTTAATTAGGAAGAAATCAATCTAGTACAAGAGGGAACTAATATACTTTGCTTGATATTTTCTTGGTCAAAGGACAAAGAAGATTTGTTTGAAATTGCTATATAATTTGAAAGTATTGTCCAGCTATATTGTATGTAGTGGTTTTAAAATTGTCCTCTTTTAGATGGTTTATTCACTGTTAAAAGTAGTTATTCTACAATTTTGTATCAGAGATTTACATAGATTTCCACTTTCCCTAGCTAATGAGATCAGGCCCCAATTTTTTTTAATATACCATTTGGTCTGTGGTATGTCCACATGTGCACCGCAATCACACATATATATTTGAAGTGAGTTTTCATGTTAAAAAGTTCAACCAAGCAGTTTTTGCATAAATTTCAGGTTTTCTAAAGATTTTGAAAAAACCAGATTGATATATCATGAATGAAAATGGCCCCAAATGGTTTTGGATTGTGTGATAAAACATTAATTAGTGTGGATTGTTGAATGTAATATTCCTTTAAAAGGATTTTTCTGACCTAATTTAGATTTGCATGAAATGGATTAGAATTATTGTGCCTAAAAGATTTCTCCACAGTTTTTTTTTAAAAAAAGAGTTTTGTATCAAATTATAGAATGATGGACTAAAACAGTCTTACAACAGATTTAAATTAAAATAGGTATTAAGTATAAATTGGGCTTTACTTATTAATTTTTTTAACCCATTCCTGTTTTTTGTTTTTGAAATAGTTTCTTCTGAAAAGTTAATATTATTAAGAGATAATTTGAAGTTTTCATTTTTTTCTAATAAGGGCTTTTAACAGCAAATATTTCTGGCTTACACATTATCAAACAGTTGGAGCTATTGCCCTGTTTATATTGACCAGACTATATATAGTATTACTAGAACATTTTATCAGTGATAGAATGTTTGAAAGCCATATTTTTAGTTTTCAAAAAAATATGGAAATCTTAATTGCTCTGGAAAGCTGTACATTTTTGTTTAAATAGAAAGCTCTGATTTTGAGTTCTAGATATACTATGAGCTTTATGATAATGACTTCACTGTCAAGAGTGTCCTAAAAATTAGACCATTGTATATCCATCTACTCTTTGTAGTATCTCAATAACAAAAACCCTTTGATTAGGATCCAAGGAATAGCTTAAAACAATCCTTTTTCTGAAAATATTTTACATTTCTTTCCTGATCAAAATTTACTGTTCAAGTATAAATCATGTCATATCTTTCACAAAAGCTTTATTATAAACTTAAAGTTATTGTACTCTTCCAGTAAGCAAGTTTCACAATATTTTATCCTATCCTAATGAAGACTTTCTTTAAAAAGCTATTTTCACATGTTCCTCCTTCCCAAATCTTAAATATGTATTTATTGCAAATAATATAATTATAAACCTCTTATAAAGCTAATTATAACTAGAGACCTTTAAAAAGCACTTGAATGTTTACCTATGGAATTTTGCTTCCCCCCCTATGCTTTGATAATCATAAGAAATTCATGTTTTAAAGAATGTTGAAAAATATTAAAACTAGAACATTTGAAGGAGCTTTAGGATTTAGATTTCTGAAACTTCTGCTCTCTTGCTAGAATTCTCATTATCTCTTCCTCCCTCAAAAATGCTGACCAGTGGTTGGTTGCTGTTTCCCTGGGTGCAGTACCTGGTGGTATTATGTTCTTCATAATTGTTTGTTTATTTTTAAGGCCGTGGTAGGGGAAGAGTGTGTAGGTGCCATCGTTTGCAAGTTGGACATGCACAAAAAGATGTTCCGCAGAGGTTATATAGCCATGTTAGCCGTGGATTCCAAATACAGGAGAAATGGCATTGGTAAGGAAAATATTATGTCATTAAAAGAATGTATGAGTTCTTTTTTGTATTTTGAAGCAGAAGATTTAAGTGTAAATATGTGGAAATGAGCATGATGCTAAGGGAAGAAAATCAAAATTGTTTTTACTTAAAAATATTTCCAAAATGTGCATATTTTTTTTTTAAGAGAGAGAGAAAAACATTGAAGTGAGAGCTGCCTCTTTCAACCCCCCCGCCCCCCCGCCCCCACATCGAGCCCAAAACTCACAGGGGAATCAAGTTGGTAACCTTTTAGTTCAAGGGACGACCCCCAACCAACTGACCCACACTGGCCAGGGAACCAAAATGTTGTTAATGATTTTTTTAAATTGCTTGAGAGATTATCTTTTTAATAAGTAGCAGGTGACCATTTTTTTGCCTCCAAACATTTCTTTACTATGTTCAGAATGCTTTGCATTATACCAAGTACTGCAGTGTTGATAGCAGTCTCAGGGTACTTGATCCTAGCTGTAAGCTGTCTGTGCTTGGCTGAAGTGGACCTCAATGAAGGCAAAATAATGGAGAAATTGTTAACCATTATTTAGTACTAGTAATTGTATTAACAATTCAAAGAAGACCAGGAAAAGGAATTCTTACCATTCCCAATCATCTCTTTCTTAGGTCTACCTTTTTTGGCATTTTTCAGTTAATCTTACAATGGTCATTAGAGTTATCTGGGTGATTAAAAAACAAATACATAGGCCCCTCCCGCTGAGAATCTTGTTTGTCTTGTTAGAAGGAGGGCTGAAGCTTCCCCAGATGACTGTGATCTAAGCCTGTCCTAATATTTAGGACCTACTAGCTCTTTGTTTAAGATGTAAGAGCAGATTGACAAGTACTCTTGTCTAGGCATGTCAAATTCTGGGATATACTGAAGCGAAGTTAGTATTCATGAAAGAATATTTGATGCCTATACCAGTATTTAATTACCAACAGTTTTTTCTCAACTATTAGTATTATTGTCCAATTTAAGACGATCTTATTTATATTGGGAAATCATTAAGAATAGGTTCACTTACTGCATTAAGTTTAACCAACTTACAGTGTTACAGTTTACCACCAAGATTTTTAATGAATCAGGCTTGTTATATAAGCCAGGATTGAGACTTTGATGCATTAAAAAGAGCTGGTAAGAATTCATGGAAAATGATAGGCAATTGTCTGACTGTTTCGGAAGGCAGAAGCCAGTGGCTTGAATGTTGCATCTTAGCCCTCAGACATTTTGTTTGGCCCAAATAATGTGTTTTTGTTCATGTTTTGAGAATTAAGAGATTTTTTTATAAAATTTGGATTTTTTTCTTAAAATTCACATTTGGCAGTTGTTTTCCCTTTAAAGTACTAACTATATCTGACCCTAACCTAAGATATATTTTGCTAGACATTTGCAGACACACCACTGACATCATATATATACTAGTGGCCCGGTGCACGGAATTCGTGCGTGGGTGAGGGCGCGGGTGTCCCTTTGCCCGGCCTGCACCCTCTCCAATCTGGGACCCCACAGGAGATGTCTGATTGCCCCCCCACTCCCCCGCCGGCCTGCTCAGATGACCGGAAGGTCTCCCGTTCTAATTAGCATACTACCCTTTCAGTATAGATATAAAAGCCTAAGCGACTGTTAAGACCGAACAATCAGAACGACCAGTCGCTATGACGCGCACTGACCACCAGGGGGCAGATGCTCAATGGAGGAGTTGCCCCCTGGTGGTCAGTGCACTCCCACAGCCAACCTCCTGCAGTCAGCCAATCTCACATGAGGTCTCCCGTTCTAATTAGCATACTACCCTTTCAGTATAGATATAAAAGCCTAAGCGACTGTTAAGACCGAACAATCAGAACGACCAGTCGCTATGACGCGCACTGACCACCAGGGGGCAGATGCTCAATGGAGGAGTTGCCCCCTGGTGGTCAGTGCACTCCCACAGCCAACCTCCTGCAGTCAGCCAATCTCACATGGTCCCTCCACCCTGCTGGCAGGCCCTAGTTGGCCTGCCGCCCGCCTGCCACAGTGGCAGCATGGTGGTGAGGGAAGGAGGAGGGAGGGAGGCGGGGAACTGTGGTGGTGAGGCACTGATGTCAGTGTCCTGCATCTATTCTTCCGTGCCAGGCCCAGCGACCATCAGCCAGGTCTAGGGACCCTACCCATGCACGAATTGGTGCACCAGGCCTCTAGTATGGGAATACCAGACTTAAGTGTGCCCCATGCTCAGTATAAGGTTTGTAGGGACCAACCCAGTGTCTTGGGCCTACTTTGGGTCACAGCAGTTCTAGTGTGATCTTTGGCAAGATTGGTTCAAGGGTCATATGCAGTGAGTTCTAGCCAGCTCAAGAAGTTCCTAGGTTGCTTGGCCGTATTATATCTTGCCTTTTTCTTTTTTCCCCTTTCCCTTCAAACAGAATAGCAGAAACTCCTGCTTGGAGCAAGTAATTACACCTGAGAAAAAGGAATATATCAGGACTTGCTTAGGTCTTTCAAGAGGAAACTTAAATTGCTATGTATAGGTTCTCTTGGCCTCTCATTTTAAATCTAAAATTTTTCTCACTTAATTTAAGATAATCTGTGTATCTGCATTCAAGGTAGAACTCAGCATTTGACATTTATATTCTTATTATGATGTTATAATTTAGGTATCTTTAAGAAACTAATTACATTTTTCCTTCATTAATACTCAGATCTATATTCTAGGTACTAACTTGGTTAAGAAAGCTATATATGCCATGGTTGAAGGAGACTGTGATGAGGTAAGTCTTTCTAAATATTTAAGACCTTTTAGGCAGTATTCTGTGTATTTTTATAAATATCCCATGATAATTATACTGCAGGTCTTATAGCAATGTACAAATGCAACTTGTAGTGAAATTATATATCATTTAAACACATGAATTTTGACCTAGAACAAATTTTAAGGTGATAATGGGAGCTAAAATTTGTTTTTTTGTCAAAATGTAAAGGTGAAATCTTAGACATTTTCAGTAAATAAATGGTATTCAGAGGAATTTGTATTCAGAGGACTTGTTATCAGTTAAGTTATCACTTACTGTAAGTTACATATTAGCCTTAGTTTCTTTCTAAATAAAAGTTTTATTTTTGACTCTGGGCCAACTGTCAACTCATGAAGGACATTTCACATTTGACAAACATCTCTCAGCATTAAATAATGATAAGGCTTGGAGGGTAGGTGAAGACAACTACTTTTTTCATTGGAGCCATCTGCATATTAACCTCAGAGCATCTCTTTTCAGCTTTTTTTCTAAGGCCTTATAGCAGATATAATTTCTTGTATGTTACAGCACTGGGCTTTAAACATGCTAGGTGCTCAGTAAATAATGGTGATAGTTGGGACTGTTAAGATTTATTATTGAATAGTTTGGGAGGGAATAAATATAAAGGGAAGTATAAATGTCTGTATAGCAATGATGACTAAGAAGGAACAAAGTTGCATTTTTATGTATAGTAACTGTATGAGTGATACAAGTGACAGTTGTCTTTATTATTGGAGGGCAGGTGTGCCTTAGCTCACAAAATACTTGAAATTAAGTAATTTCTTTTTCAACAACATGCTGACCTTAATAAGTAACTTGCCTTTTTAAAAAATTTTTCTTTTTTGTACAAAATTTAGACACAAAAATTAACCGTGTGTGTGTGTGTTTTGGTATCATATACCTTCCACTGTCCTCATGCTCTTTAACTCTTCATTCATCTTTCCACTTATTAATCTTATGATGTGCATCCTACCATTTTCTAAGCACACCTGTATGCAACTGTGTAATACTTTTTTTTTTTTTTTTTAAACACATTTTATTGATTTTTTACAGAGAGGAAGGGAGAGAGATAGAGAGCTAGAAACATCGATGAGAGAGACATCGATCAGCTGCCTCCTGCACATCTCCTACTGGGGATGTGCCCACAACCCAGGTACATGCCCTTGACCGGAATCGAACCTGGGACCTTTCAGTCCGCAGGCCGACGCTCTATCCACTGAGCCAAACCGGTTTCGGCAATACTTTTTTTATAAAAAATGAAATCACAATTATTCTGTTTTTCCATTTAATGGTATCTCATGAACACATTTCATTGTCAGAATATAGAGATTTACTGCAGAGTATTCTCATGCTTCTTGTTTACATTAGTTTGTATTCTGACAGATCACACTAAATGGTGGTTGTATGGGAAGGCCTATAGACATACCGGGCAGCACAGAGAAGTCTAGGATTTAACGATATTTAATTTTACTCCAAATAAGATAATTACATATGATGGAGGATCTCATATTGTTTGCAGCTTTTAATATAAAAAAGTAAAAGGTACAGTGACCTTGATAATTTATTTACATGGCTGGTAACTAAAATTTACATACATTTATTACTATAAGTCTCTGTGTTTGGACCATAGCCACACTGGCTTAGCTCATCCAGAAGAAAGTCAGGCTTTGCAAAAGTAGTGTAACAGTTTGGAGAAATCTTTGGCATGATAAAACTATGTTTTGATCCTCTACTGCTACTGAGTGGAGTGATTTCCAGTGAACAAGGATGCTATGATCAGGGATTTTATCTTCTTATGGTTAAGCCTTTTCTGAGTTTCCATAATCACTACCTGTGAGACATGCTTCACTTAATTGATCAAATGTTTAAATAGTATTGGTTTTACTTTGAAAGTTTAAAGGGATGATATGGAGATTTTGGTTATATTGTTTTAGTCTCAAGGTTAAATCCTAAATTAGTGATCTATGTATTATTGTAGAAATACTCTTGTCTTTTTTTTAAATATATATTTCTTATTGATTTCAGAGAGGAAGGGAGAGGGAGAGATAGAGAAGTCAATGAGAGAGAATCATAGATTGCCTGCCTCCAGCACGCCTCATCCTAGGGATTGAGCCCAAAATCCTGAGCATGCGCCCTGACTGGGAATCGAACCATAACTTCCTGGTTCATGGGTCAATACTCAACCACTGAGCCACACCAGCTGGGCCCTTCTATTTTTTGATGGTAGTGTATTTGTTGGTTCTACTTTATATTGCCATTTCATCCCATTTCATTTGGATTCTTCCCCTTCCACTCCATTGTAACTACTTTCTCACTGATGTATTTGCTTGATCCAGTAGCTTCTTTTTTTTATATATATTTTATTGATTTTTTACAGAGAGGAAGGGAGAGGGATAGAGAGTCAGAAACATCGATGAGAGAGAAACATCGATCAGCTGCCTCCTGCACAACCCCTACTGGGGATGTGCCCGCAACCAAGGTATATGCCCTTGACTGGAATCGAACCTGGGACCCTTCAGTCCTCAGGCCAACGCTCTATCCACCTAGCCAAACCAGTTCAGGGCCCAGTAGCTTCTTTATCTTCCTCTGCGTATTAAAGTACTTGTCTGTCTTCAATACCCAACCAAAATATCAACAACTCCTTAGAGTTTTCTTTAAACCTTCTGGAGAATCAATTGTACCTCTCTGGTTTTCTTTACTTCCCTTTTTGTAATATAGTAGTCCCTACTTATCTCTTGTTTCACAGTTACCCATGGTCAACTAGGCTCTGAAAATATGAAATGGAAAATTTCAGAAATAATTCATACATTTTAAATTGCCAGCAGTTCTGAGTAGCATGATGAAATCTTGCACTATTGTTGTACTGCTCCATTGGAATCCTCCCTTTGTCCAGCATGTTCACGCTGTGTATGTTTGCCACAGATTAGTCACTTAGTAGCCATCTTGGTTATCAGATTGACTGTTGCAGTATTGCAGTGCTTGTATTCCAGTTACCCTTATTTTACTTAATAATGGCCCCCAAATGCAAGAGTGATAATGTTGGTAATGCGGATATGCCAAAGAGAAACCAAAAGTGTTTCCAAGTGAAAAGGTGAAAGCTCTCAACCTAAGGAAAGAAAAAAAATTGTATGTTGAGGTTGCCAAGATCTATACACTGAGTGGCCAGATTATTGTGACCACCTGACATTTGTAGGCAAATGAGCTATAATTTCACACTGAAGTTGCTAGAAGGCCAGACCTTTATAAATAGGGAAGCAGGTTGTTTACCACGACAGTAGAAGTGATTTTTTTCTGAAGATATGGGTAAACAACGTGATTTAACAGCCTTTGAATGTGAGTTACATATTATTATGTGTATATGTATATGTATATGTATATGTATAGAGAGGTGGCCAGATTATTATGACCCACCAATGTTTGTAGGCAAATTAGCTATAATTTCATGCTGAAGTTGCTAGAGAGCCAGACCATTATAAATGTCTGAATAGCACAACATACCTAAGTATCGTTGCTGATCAGGTTCATCCTATCATGTTGATGGCATATCCCAATGGAGAATGAATTAAAGGGCCCAAATCATGCCAGGAAAACATGCCCCAAACCATTAACACTGCCCCCACCAGCTTGAAGGGTTGTACTCATGCATGTGAGGTGCATGCTTTCATGCTGTTTCCGCCAAATTCTCACTCTGCCATCTGCATGATGCAACTGGAAACGTGATTTATTGGACCACATGACTTTTTTCCAATGCTCGACTTTCCAATCTTTGTGTTCCTGTGAGAATTGGAGATGTTTTATCTTGCTAACTTCAGACAGCAAAGGTGTTCGAGCAGGCCTTCAGCTTCCATATCCCATATGATGCAGTGTACGGCTAATTTGCCTACAAACGTCAGGTGGTCATAATAATCTGGCTTCTCATAATAATATATATCCCACGTTCAAAGGCTGTTAAATCACATTGTTTACCCATATCTTCAGAAAAAAATCACTTCCACTGTCATGGTAAACAACCTGCTTCCCTATTTATAATGGTCTGGCCCTCTAGCAATTTCAGCGCTTAATTATAGCTCATTTGCCTACAAACACCAGGTGGTCATAATAATCTGGCCACTCAGTGTATATATTTAACATTTTTAGTTTAACTGGAAACATTTTGGCTATGAGACTGAGGCTTCTAGGTGAAGAACAGAGTAAAATGGAGTTATTTAAACTGAAGGGATTTTTGGTTAAGTAATTTAGCCTGATTAAAGAACTGTGTATGAGAAGCCTGGCTTCCAGATCCATCTGCTGTCACTTAGTATAGTTGTGTGATTGTAGGCAAGTCATTTAACTTTTTAAAATTTCTCTCTGTCTATATGCAATGTGATGGTAATTCTGATCTTAAAGGAATGTTATGAAGAGCAATAAAGGTGTTTGTTCAGCAGTTTCAGTGTGAGTAGCCTGTGAGGTGCCAGACAGTGAGCTAGTGCTTAGGTTCTAGCAGTGAACAAGCCTGTCCTCCCTAGGAGCTTCCAGCCTATAATCCTATCTAATAAAGGGGAAACATGGTAATTGGCGTATGACTGCTACCCTTCCCATTGGCTAATCAGGGTGATATACAAATTAACTGCCAGCCAAGATGGCGGCCAGCAGCCAGGCAGCTTAAACTGAACATGAGGCTTGCTTGCTTCAGTGATGGAGGACTGCAACATTCCCCGCCTGCCTTGCCGGCCTCTGAGCTTGCAGTTTAAGAAACATTGT